AAGACGGAAGCAAAAGAAGCTGCAACGCCACAGAAAGGAGAGGTTGTATTTTTTGATGTTTGCAGATTGAGGATTTTAGTCACCAGAAAATGCAATGGGTTCCCATGGTATCGAGTGGATGAATATAGATGAATGTGGATGAAGATAGATGAACATAAACTTTGCTGTAGCTATTTGAAGTACGGAGTGGGCGTTGAGTTGCCAGTCATGGGTGCAGGGAAAGCAAAGCTAGAAAAAGAAGCACATCCTGAAGCACATGGTGACGCAGGCAACTTTGGGGATATGGAACATGTTGGATCCTAAATGTGTTCAATACATCCATATACATCCTAATATCTCCAAATGAATTTCAATACAAACAAATAACATCAAATAATAGTTTTATAAAATGATATTGTAAGATTTAGCTAGAGATGATCAAGGTATTTGATTGAAGAAGGTCATTTCATAAAACCATGTTCTACCTTGCTCAAAGCTTATATTTGCTCGTTCCTCACCAGGCCGTTTTGAGACACCTCCGAAGCGGCCAGCAGCATCGCGCCCGGACCAACTTTTTGATGAGCTTGATGCTCATGTGGCTCGTGGTGATTTCGTCACTGCACGTTTGGGAATGCCTGTTCCAGAGCCAGCCTCTACCCCAGTCCGTCAAGGCCAGCAAATGATTCTCAATCTTTTATTCCTGAGGGTTTCTGAAGGATTAATATCAATTCAATATGGACATTTGCATGCTTAGTTACTAAGTTCTTTCATGTTCTTTCTTCAAACATGTGTAGGCAAGTCACCGGCAAAGACACCTACGGGAAAGGTAGGTTCCATGTCAAAAGCAGAAGGCTGGCTTGACTGCAGATGATCTTGCCGCAAGTAGCAAGAATTGTTTTTTTCTTTCACGCTCTGGTCTTGTTTTCTTTCATGGTCTTTCTGTTCAGGTAAGAAAGTAGCCGTCAAAAAGGAGATTCAACCAAATCAGCACACAGATACTTCCGACACACCACCCAAAGAAGATATTGGAGGCAGGTCACACTCTTGAGATCTCCGAGATTGTTTTAAATCATATCAGCTGTACATATGTCTATTCATCCAGACTCGGTGGTGCTCCTTCTGTTCAGGTAAGAAAGTAGCCGTCAAACAGGAGACTGAACCAAAGCCGCATGCAAATGCTGCCGACAAACCAGATGAAGATGATTTTGGAGGCATGTTCTTGCATACGATTGCATACGTATATAAGTATATATAAGGCTTTATTTCTTTTTAGATCCTTCAAGGCAAGCCCGCATTTGACCAGAGGGCAGCTGAAGCTATGGCCACGAACCAAGCCCTTTGAGCATTTGTGTGAGTTGTATTGAATACATTTGAATACCATTGAATCATTTAACACTATTGGTTTATAGATGTTTATAGAATGATCTTTTGTGAGACTTGAAGACCAAAACACATCAAAACACTGAAAGTAGATGAGGAAAAGCATTTTGTAAAACCTTCACCTCTAGATTTTGGGCCGAGACCACCAGAAAGCGTAATAAGGTACTCTGGTGAGTCATTTTGGATGCCCTGGAGACAGACCCACAAGATGTTTGAGAGCCT